GACACCTCTTGCCTGCAGAGTTCATAGGCCCAGAGAAAGCTTCAATGATCTGAGTCACAGTGACTCAAGGTAGCAGGGTTTGTGGCCGAAACACCCTGGAAGCCCGGAGTTCTTTGAACCTCCATTGCCTCCCAAGTACTGATTGTGTAAGCAAGCTACATTGGGGATGCCTGCACTTGATCACAGTCAACTATTCCATTAAAAATACTCTTGTGTAAGTGACAATGCAGTGACAGCAGAAATACTCCTTGGCCACACTTGCTTAAGAAACATGCCCTAGCTGTCAGAGCCCCCGGAGCCTCAGTTCTAACAATCTGTCAGAGCCCCTGGAGAAATCAGTTCCCAATAGCAGTCATTCAGAAGAATTAAAGTTTATTGAGACATTGATAGGATCCAGACTCTTAACGATTCTCTATTAGAACTGAGGTCAAGCGTGCAAAGCAAGCAATTATGCTAAAATCAAACAGGACATTGGTGGCTCTTGGCCAATTGCACCTAGACTAAAAAGTCTGCCTAACTAAACTAACGGCATGAAATTCTCAGGGGAAAGAGGATACCAGAGACAGTTAGGTCTCAAGGTTACATGACTAAGTCAAGACAGATAACAGCATAGTGGCCAGAACCGAAAGTATACATTCCTGTTCTCACCCCCCCATGTCTCCATGGCAACCAAGCCCAAGGGGCCAGGCTGACATTAGCTAGCCTTTCTTACTAGCCATGTACTATAAACCACTGTGCTTCTCTGAACTGGAATATAAAAAACCCAAAAACAGATTAGAAAACAAGCAGCATCAGCAGAATTCATGTGTGCAGCACTACTCTGTGTTTGCTGTGAGGAAAAAGCGCCTTCAGGCAACCTGATACTGAGTTCCATAGAATTCTGGTTCAAAAAAGAAGTTATTTGAAAGGTTACGATGATTGAGATGTATATATTTAGCTCAACCACTGTTCTAATGAATTAATGCTTTAAATATTTGACCTTTATTTATCCCCCGCTTTTCTCCAGTTGGGACCCCAAACAGCTTTTCACATGGCTCTTTCCTCCTCCACTTTATCCTCACAACCAAGGGCAGACTGGTAAGGCAAAATGGCCCAGGAAAAGAGCCACGCCTCCTCCTTGGCCACACCCCCAAAGAAGGAATGGCTGCCTTATGGTGAGGACTTCTGCAGAGCAGTCTCGTGCAAGGCAGCGGTCCTTTCCGCACTTGGACCTCAACCCTGGTTTTATCAGAGATTTTATTGCGACCCCATACCTTGCATTCAACCCCGGTTCTAACAGCATCTGTTTATCCTGGGACAAGTGTGGGGCAAAACCGGGGTGACCTCAGTGTAATGTAGAAACAAGAAATACCACGAGATAATTACAGGGCTTATGCTGAGGACTTCTGCAGAGCAGTCTCGCGCAAGGCAGCGGTCCTTTCCGCACTTGGATCTCATCCAGAATCACCCAAGGAGAGCCAGTCTAAGGGACTTTTAATGGCTGGTCCACCTCTGCTCACAACCACCACCTTGTGAGGCAGGTTAGGCCAAGAGATTGTGATGGGCCCAGGTGACCTTCCACGAGAGAGTGAGGATTTGAACCAAGGTCTCCCAGATCCTAGCCTGACGCTCGAACAATCATACTATGCCAGGTCTCAACTCTCCAGTTTCCCCCTACCAAATGCTTAGCCTAAGGCAGAGTTTAATTTAAAAGGCTACAACGTAAGAATGTAATATAATGAATTTTCACGGGTATGGACATTTTGTATAATTTGTTGTAGAAAAATAAAATAAAAATAAGCATGCCTTATACCAAGTAAGACTACTGGTCTGTCCAATTTAGTATTGCCTACTCGGAGTAACGGCTGCTACTTCAAGTGGAGAGAGGTCTTTCCCAGTACCTGCTATCTCAAACCCCTTAGTTGAAACGGAGATGTTGCAGCCTGAACAGGTGTTATTGTATAGCTCATGGAGAACATAGCCATAGCTTAGTAGAATGGCCCATGACAGCCAGAGGGCAGTTTAGTAAAGGTTTCCCTTGCTCAAAAGCCAGTCAAATCCAACTCTAGGGGGCAGTGCTTATCTCAGTTTCCAAGCCGAAGAGCCAGCACTGTCCGAAGACGTTTCCGTGGTCATGTGGCCGGCATGACTATATGTCGAGGCGCACGGAACGCTGTTACCTTCCCACCGAAGCGGTACCTATTTATCTACTTGCAATTTCTTGCTTTCAAACTGGTAGGTTGGCAGGAGCTGGGGATGGCTTGGATCTCAGCTGGATTTCCTTGGGGACAAGAGGGAGATTTTTGATTATTTCCTCCCTCCCTCCACTGGGGACCTCTGCTTCCTCCCCCAGCCACTCCTGAAGCTCCCCCATCACCCAGGAGCGGGGGGGGGGGGGAAAAGGGCCCCCCCATGCAAGAGGAGGGAAATCAGCGAAAATCTACCTCCCTCCTTTCAGCCACTGAAATCTATGTGGGATCCAATACACAGAATGCAGGGAGAGCTTACCATAAGTGACAGATGAAACTCTTCTGTGACCCACAGAGTCTGAAGTGAGATGGGGGAAGGGGGGCTTTGCTGCTCATCAACAAATCTTTAGCAGACCTGTCTGTATCATTCTCCTCTTAACTCCTCAGAGGAAACAGAAGGCAGAAGCGATTTTGGCACCGAATGACACCAGCATCCAAACAAGCAGCACTTTGAAGCAAGCACTGGCTTACAGATGTCTCTTTGCATTTCACACAGCCAAAAAAAAAAGTTTTACCTTTACTATACAGAAGATCCTACAGGAAGACTTGAAAGGATGCATTACAGACTATGGCTTAGTTTAGAATCCGTTTGCGCTCAAAAGGTTTGTGTCCCTCTGGCCTCTCATTGTATTGCCACGTCAACTGAGATTTAAGAAAGGGGACCAAGATCAAAACAGAGAATTGCATGTCTGCTAGTGGAACAATTTGTTATTTCAGAAGCCAGCGAATTGTGTTTTATCTTGATATAATTAGGGTTCCTACCAAAAATAACGCACTGAATGACTGGAAACCCCTGCCCTCTGCTCCGACTGTGTAGGATCCTACAAGTGCCGATATACTATTAACATAAAGGCAGTTTGGAAGAAGTCGTTTTATAAATCCAAGATGTCTGCATAGTGAATATTCTTAAGATACATGCAGTCCTTTGGAACTTGAAGATAAATTAGTTTCATGAAAGGACAAACCAGATCCCCATATAGAGGAAAAAACGTATACTATGTCAGCAGCACAGTTGACTATACCAAAGTTGCAACTGCAAACAATTTCAGTGTAGCAATTTCTTATGTAAAAATAGTCCATTTATAAAAATCTGAAATAAAGTATAACAAGATGTGCAAAAAAATGCAGGTAGAAAATGTAACATAGCTACTAATCCAAAATCCTACCTCTTCAGAGATTAATAAAACCTCCAGCATGATAATTCTTTTACATAATCTATGGTTTGGTTGCACAAGAGCACAGAGAACAATTCTGGGCAGCCCATCTAAAAATATTACAGGGCTGCAAAACGTACAGAACCTGGCAGCCAGAAATTATTAAGGGGTTGGAACACCTTAACTGTTTGGCAAGGTTAAAGATTGTTTGGCTTTTTAGTTAAGAAAATAATTGGGAGGGGGGAAAGGTAGAGGTTTCCTATTGTGCCAGGTGTGGAGAAAAGAGACAGAAATGACTTTTCCCCTCATCCATAATACGAGAACCTAGGGTCATCCAGTGAAAACGAACGAACAAGATACAAGCTCTTTTTCAGAGAAAGCATCGCTCATTTGTTTGTGACAACGGCCACTGGCTTAGGTAGTTTATGTCTATCAATCAAAATAAAACTGTTAAGCTCAGGGGTCATATACGGGAGAATACCAGCTGCCGGGAAGGGCAACAGCATTTCCCTCTGACCCTTCTGGTAGGCCAGGAGCAGCTGGTTGGCCACTGTGGGAAAACAGGAGACTCGATATTTCTGTCCAATCCATAAGGGATCTTCGTGCATTTTTAGAGTGGATCGGGATACCTGTGACAATGCTGGATGCAACAAATCAGGTTACAGGAGCCTCAGCCCACTCGTTTCCCCACATGGAGGCCACCAGCCCAGGTTTCTTAGCATACAATCTGCTTCTTCACTCACCACTTCCCTACCCCAGCCACTGAATGGTCTCCCATGTCATGTAGGGACAGAAAGGGCAAGAAACTGAACCTTAACCCTAAAATCCAGAACCTAACGAAGTTTAGTAAAATGTGAAAAACAGGGCCAATATTAAAAACTAAATGTAGAAAATATATAGAAAAAGATACATGTATTTATTAATTACAAATTTTAAAACATATTTAAGGGCCCATTCACATCAAAGATATAAATAACATGACCATACACACGGGCTTAAAAACATGACCTGACGCATTTCGGCCTGCATAGGCCTTCCTCAGAAGTCAAACAATTGAGTGGCAAGATGGCTATATAAATATAATACACTCATGTAGATACAGTCAGAATGGATACAAAATATAAATTCAATATGGACCAGAAAACAAGTTGTTCCAGAATAAAACCACCAGAGACACATAATAAATATGCAAATGAGATCTTTAAAAGTGCAATCACTTGCCCAGTGGTTCTAAAGTATAGACTTTTGGTCCAAGAATTGCCTTCTTTGATTGTGTTGCCACAGTGTTCTTCAAGTAAAAAGCAGTCCATCTTGCCACTCAACTGTTTGACCTCTGAGGAAGGCCTATGCAGGCCGAAATGCGTCAGGTCATGTTTTTAAGCCCGTGTGTATTGCCATGTTATTTATATATTTGATGTGAGATCTTCCCAAATATTACAATTTAGTTAAAAATCCCAAAAAATCAGCTAGGTCTTAGCCCCTTTTAGAGAGACCTTTCTATGATGTACGAAGGTGGCAACCAAAAAAGACACACTCGACATTTCATTCTGAAGCTACAAATTGTAGCCACTATTGCGTGCCCTGTGCCAGAACAGTGATACAACACGCAACTGCTGAGCTCTGTGTAATTTTATTGTGTCTTCCACCATTGACGGGCGTGGAAAACAGTTACAAAAATGGTTACAAGCACTTTGATTAAAACCAGCTTGCAGGGCACTGTGTCGGCAGGTGGGGTGGGTGAAGGTTTCCCTGGAAAGAGACCGCCAGAGGGTTGTTTTTCTTCCTCCCTCCTTTCGTATTCTCAACGGCCCCTTCTCAGGTCCATTGTTCTTTCCTCTGTGACCTGTATCAGATAAGGGTATCCAGAAAACAAACTGGCTACTTCCCACCCAAAAGGCCAGGGATAACGGTCAAGGAGGCCAAAACGAGATTAGCACGTTAGCCCGCCCAGTTGCAGAACTCCCGAAGTCTGTATTTTTCTGCCATTTCAGGCCCCACAGATGTCACCTTCAAGTGATGCTGAGGCCCCCAAACACTTGGGTGAGTTCTGAGGATGTTGCAGCAGCTACCGCACCCATGTACTGAAGGTCCTTTCCCCATTGCTGGGGTTATTCATCTTTAAGGACTCCAGTAGGCCTTTGATTCTTTCACTGGTGGTTCCCTTCTTCCTCCTTGCGTCCTTGCCGGCATTCTTTGCAGTCACCGCTGGAAGAAGGGCCACCATTCCCCAGGGTTGGTCGCTGCTGGAAGAAGGACCCTTGTCCTGTTGTAGAAGCCAAGCGCTCTCTCTGGCCAGCGTGATAAACCGTTCAAGCTGCGTCATGTTGACGGTCCTGCTGATGTTGAGGCTCTGCTCAAAGGGATTTTGTATGTGGAGCGGAGAAGAGTCAGGCTTGTTTTGCTCTTTCCCCTGCAGATTTCAAAGGAGAAAAACTTTAGCATGCACATGACCCCTTGCATAATGCCACAGCCCAGAGTCAATACACTACTGTAGCTCACTGATTTAAGCAGACTTCTAGCAGGTGCTACACAGAAGAGAGATGGTTATCTACCTATGGATCTTACAGAAATGATTCCAGTGCAAGAACAGTATAGAAGCTGCATTCCAGAACATACAGCACAATAAGATACATGCAGAATTTCCAAACATGCCAGCATGAAGGGGCACAGACTCCACCGCTTCCTTCACAGAGACAAAGCTGGACATGAAGAAGCCCAATAGGGCTGTTAGCTAGACCCCTCAAGTTAGTAGTGTAATATACAAGTCTGTCAAGGGATTCATGCTCTGATCCAAGAATACTGATGAGGAACTGTTCATGGAATGGATCTCCCCCCCCATGTCCCTTCAAAAGCTGCTCCTGAAGGTCACATGACTCTTTGGAACAGAATGCGATGTGGCACCAGTGTGTGAGCACATGTACGCTTGCACTGCAGCAAGGGGCAATCGCAAGAAACTTCCCCCTTCTGTTTGAATGGAAGTTACCCCCCTCATTCTTTTGCTGCAAGTGCATGCCCTCTTCATAGAAGTGCTCACATAAGGGAGGACAGGGAGTCTGCCAGTTCATTCTTGAACTACAACCCCCTCCCATCCCCATGCACTGCACCTCACTTAGTTCCTGAGGGTCCTCCAGTCCTAAAGAACTATTTGTTTTTGAGAGGTCAACCGACTGACAGGAGCACTCTTCCTAGCAAGCAGCCAGGAGGAGCAGGGCGGAAGTATCAAAACTCTTCCACTTAAGGGAACAACAATCAGCATTCATTCAGGAGGTTAGCCCCTAAGCAATACAACAAAGTTGCTTCGCAATTCCTGTTCCCTGCATGGTATAATTATAAGAACGTAAGAGAAGACATGTTGGATCAGGCCAAGGCCTCATCCAGCCCAACACTCTGTGTCACACAGTGGCCAAAACGCAGGTGCCATCTGGAGGTCCACCACAGGGGCCAGAACTCCAAAAGCCCCCCCCCATGTTGCCCCCAAAGCACCAAGAATCCAGAGACAGTGTTCCACCAGTTAATGTCAAAAGGGATTCCCGCCCCAAACAGGTGGGGTTACAAAACTCAAATATGACATCAAAACTCAAGATGTTTGACGACAGTTTGGAGAGTTACCAACAGGGACAGAACAGTCAAATACCTTGCGAATGTTTAGTGAATACTTATTGAAAGCAAAATTCCCATAGTATTCAAAGAAGTCACCCAACAGCACATCTGAAAGACAAAAAGAACGTATCATAAAGGAGGGAAGAGGCCACCGTTCATATTTGATGGGTGAAAATGTTGACAACCAAGCTCCTTACCCAAACTCTGTGTGTTTCCTGTGGGCTTAATTTTGTTCAAGTTGCTAACAAACGTGCAGTCATGACCTTCAATTACCTGCTTATCTTGTACATCTGAAACAAAAACAAGCTGGCTGGAATTATCCCATCTGAGCACGGCACAATTTTACAAGTTAGACGTAATGAGATTATGTGCAAAAAACAGTTTAGATAAGCATATTCTACTGAGCAAAGGAGCCAGGAGACATTTGTGCGATAGATTAATGACAAGCATTTCAGTTATTAATAGAATTCAGACACTGAAGCTGCAGATAAGTGCCCAAATGCGAAAGGGATGTACTCCCAGCTTTCAAATGCATGCACACCTTTCCCAAACTCCTTCAACACCGCAAAACACTTGCTCTGCTTTGAAATGCTAATTAAGGGTACGAACTTCAATGCTGTTTTCAATGTTTTGGCCAAATGATAAAAATAACACATGACCTTTGTGCAGTCCAGAACTAGCCCTTTCAAAGGAAGGCAATTGTACCTTAAATGGGGAGGAGAATTTTACAGCCAATGTGTTGATAACCAAGCAGCAGGCTTTTCCAACAGCTATTGTTAATGGGAAGAAATGGTGCAGCGATTGCATGCACATTATTGACCCTGAAACAGTAAATTATTTGTAGCTGTTCCTTAGACCTTGCCTCTAGTAAGGATACTTGTAACACACTGCCTAAGTCCAGAACAATCATGATTCAATCAAACTGGACAATATGGAGCTCAAATCACTGGATCTTGTGCTACCCCAAGGCGTTAAAAAAAAGGTGTTATGACATGGTAACTATTCATGTTTCTAGTTCTCAGGTTAGCAGGGAAAAAAACTGAAACTCTTAGCAGGTCAGCTAACTGCAGGCCAAAAAACAACAACAAAAAACCCCAAACAGCAAACACAATAAATCCCAATGGATGTTTTCAAGCATTCTCTCAAAACTCTTAAGTAGTTTTTCTTCATGAGCTAAAATACGCAGAAGTAGAAATACTAGGGGCTCTTGTTAATCTCCACCACTTCTTGCACACTAGGCACTGTTCGAAAATCAAACACAGACACGAAAGCCAAAAAATCTCATGGAAGAGGCAGCGTCAGAGAAGGTCCAGCTGTGCTTTACAGTTATGCAAATTATATGCAAAGTATGCCAACTATGACGCTTAACAATAATTAGCCTTTATATAGCAAACTCCGAGAGTTCAAAGAACTTCATATGCTATTCCAGTATTCCTTACAACAAACTTTGCAATGGGCCAGTATTGCCACCCATGTATTTTAGACAGTGACTGAGGACAAGAGGAGAACAGCTTGCCTGGCGCCATCAGTGGGAACATGGCTTTGAGAACAGGAAACTCCTGGACTGAGCTGGGAGCTTTTGCTCTCTTCACCACCACATTACACCAACCCCCACAACACTGGCATGCACATGCTACTCTAACACTTGAAACTGTTCCAAATGAGGCTTTTTTGGTCCTCAACAAAGCCGCCCTTGAATTATTAAGATATGGATAGATTCCTACTTTACATTCTGTGATTTGGTGTGGACACCTCCCCCCCCTCCCCCGGTACAATCCACGCATACCTCTCATCAAGGGTGCACGCATGTAAAATGGCAAAGATATTCTGAGGAAAGGCTCAAATCCACATTTCCAAAGTATCAGAAGAGTGCCTTGGATGCATTTCATACATGTAACTGAATGAGAGTCTCATATTTCACGCTCCAGTACCGACAGCCAAGGAGATAATATCAGATGAGAGGGAGCCTTTAGAATTAATCTACAGCCACTAGCGCATGTGTACAAAAATAAATCTGCTGCTTACCAGCCAGCTCCTTCAGGTGATCCAAGGTTGGAATGATGGGGGGATTTTTCCTTTGCAGAAAAAACAGAACCATCATTGTTAAGGAGAAATTTGTAATCCATGCACCAGGAATGCTACTTGTGATCCCATGGGCCCGCGCCCAGCACCGTACACCGAACACAAGAGCTCTTACACGTGGATCAAGGCTGCCGTAGATATAAAGAAGTTCAGAACTCTGCATGGCAATTCTGTTGGAACAGAGAGGGGTCAGAAACAGGAAGGTGAGAATATGTATAGTAATATGGGGCCTAAGCATATCTTCGGCTTTTCTACAGTAATCCAGAGGGATCAGAGTTAATACCTGAACACCTCTGCCCCCTACAAGAGCCCATATGCCAGTTACAGTCAGAATGGCCAGCAGTGTTAGTGGCTTCTTCATCACAACAGATGAGGGAAATGATAAGGATCCAACCATGGCGCGAGGATCCAATCAGCCAATGAGAGCAGAGCCAGGAAAAGGAACAGAGGTAAAAAATCAGTCTCTACTTCACTGTAGAGAGGGGACCTGGAGAAAAAAGGTGGCTTAAAGCATTTCTCCATGTGGGATAGAGGAAAAAGGACTAGAGGAAGAGAACAGGCTGCAAAAGGCCTTATTAGCTCTGACAAGACACACAGCTGCATAACGCAGGGCTCTTTCAGGAACAGCCTCAACTAGACGGTGTGAAAATCCAAGCCACCCTTGAGTTTTCGAAAGGGTTGTAAAATATTTCTTTTCCAGGTCATGTTGGGTTGTATATTTTTCAGCCTTTGTGGATACGTATTTTTTAAAATCTTCTCTCTGCTCACTATTTATTTAATTGGATTTCTAGCCTGCCCTCCCCTGCACAGCAGAGCTCAGGGTGGGCTACAACAAAAATATATACAACTAATTTAAAATAATTAAAACACAATTACACAGTATTAAGAACCTATACAAAACATCAGATGATACAACTCAGGATGGCGGTCGGGTACAAGTTAGTAAGCACTCCCCAAAGGACTGTCTGTCTGTGTGCTCAAAGATGAAACCAGATACTGGGAAAGTGGGCAAAAAAGCCACAAAACAGTAGCAGAAAATAAAATGGTGCAAAGCAGGGTAGGGTAGAGTAGGCTGTAGTTAGACCTCCGCCGCCTCAGCCATAGGCCTGGTGGAACATCTCCATTTTACAGGCCCTGCAGAATTGTAACAAATCCCGCCGGTCCCTGATCTCAATCGGGAGAGGGTTCCCCCAGGCTGGAGCCAGAGCGAAAAAGGCTCTGGCCAAGGCTAAGCGGACGTCCTTTGGGCCGGGGACCTACAGCAGATGTTGATCTATAGAACGTAAAGCTTTTCGTGGGACATACAGGGGGAGACGGTCCTGCAGATATGTTGGTCCCGGACCGCACAGGGCTTTAAAGGTTAATACCAGAACACTGAACTTGACCCGGTATTCAACTGGGAGCTGATGCAGTTGGCGGAGCACTGGTTATATATGGGCTCTTAAAGGTGTCTCGGTGAGGACACGTGCCGCTGCATTTTGGACCAGCAAAATCAATTACTACTCTACTGCTTTGTCGTTTGATATGGTCAATTATATTAGCTTTTAAAGATTCTGCTTTGTGTTGGCTAACCTTAAGGCTTTTGGCTGAGAGATACAATAAAAACTCTGGAAAGAAATAGTGTCACCCCCCGCCCACCAATCTACTGGCTTTGAACGGGGGGGGAGTGATACAGAAACACTTTAAACAAAGATAGGGACAGGCACCAAGGCACAGTTGTCCAATTCCTCTGTGGCAGAAGCCATTTGTTTTATACCAAGTGCAAGAGCATTTGTGGACAGATAATGGCCAGTGCTGCTGCCCCCCCCCCCCATCTAACTTGCATGAACTTCCCATCCGGCCCAAGAACAGCTTTTGCAGGGATCACCAGCCCTCCAGACTGCAGCTAGCAGCCTAATGCTCCAGAAAAACTGATAAATAGTTTGCAAGAAGAGCACCACAAAAAGCAGTAGACTAGGAGATAGGCCACGCTGGGTCTCAGCTCTGCAACTGGGCACTGGCTTTGCCTGTTTCCAAGTGGTGCCCAAAGCAGGAAGAGTCGGCTTCCAATGCAGAACCCACAAAATTGAGCAGAACCACAGAGGTGGCCTTTAGGCCAAGAAATCCCCCCCATTCTACATAATCATAGATTTGCCAATTCTATTACAAAGGTTTGCTACCACCAGAGGTCATTTCGCAGGGGATCGCAGTTCCCCCGAGTGAGGTACAGGGGGTGGGGCACATGATGAAGGCCCGCCCCCCGCTTCCGGCCGCCCCGCTTCCGGCCCTCATTCAGCCAGGAGGAGGCAGGAGAAGAGGGAGGGTAAGTTGCT